GGGCAGAACACTCGTGGCGCCAGCAGGGGCGGGCGAGGGTACGTACTAATGCGCTGAGGAATACCTAACCTGACCCTGTGGCGGCTGTGTGCGCGGGTTCTGATCTGGGAGAGCGCACCCGCGAACGAACTCGCGTTCAACTTGCACCAATTGCGGGATCCGCCCACAGCGCCGCAGCGGCGAGCCACGTCAAACAATTCACTGTGCGGGACAGTCGGAGCGCACAACGCGCGCGGCGTGGCGCGCTCACTGGATGCACATGTGCTTCTCTGGAGCAGAACATAATCATTACAGGTGACAGCATCTTCCATCTGCAACGCACCACCGCCCCACACATACCAGTGCCGGCACAGAGGACGCCATGCACCCCCGCCCTGAACCACAAGGCCCACCGTCCGACGGCACACATGGCCACGAGCCTTCTTGCGCGCGGCGCGCGGCTTGTGCGGCGACGACTCCAATGTGACTGGAACCCGGCACCGGCAAGCAAAGAGCGAACGCCAGCCCGTACGTACCCGAGTCCGTGCCTGGCGCCGAGCGACCGGCGACGCTGCAAATGCAAAAGCGAAACCGGTCAGACCAGGCTGCCAGCCAGACGACCTGGCGATTGGCGGGCAGCACCGAGCTGTCAGTATGTCACTGCCAGATAGCCTCGCGCCGACACAAGGGCCGCACTGGCTCCCCGGCAAATCTGCGTGAAGGCTGTCCGGAGATGTCGGGCCCATTCGGGAACGCGACTCACAGACTTCTGGTTCGCTGTGGCCCGTCCGTGCCTACGTCGACGTCGAGAACCCTGTCAGCATGCACCGCGCACCTGGGGCGCAGCTGCTGCCACAGTGTCGGACCCGAGTCCCACTGTAAATGGAACATGCAGGAGGGGGGTTGGCGGGCGTGGGTAGTCGGCGGAGGAGGCTCAGGGAAATCTGAGGGCGAGCCGCTGGCGTGGACCCTATGCGGTGGTGGCGTCTGGAGGCGTGGTATAAAGCATGATATTACAAGAAGAGATGCAAAGACAGGTACAATACAGTCCGTGTATGCAATATGTGAAGTGCATGCGCCTCTTGATAGATGGCGTCAAGTGAAGGTGGCGGGTGCTATGCCGGGAGTCGGGATAGAGTCGTGGGGTTCTAATCGACCTTGACGGTTCCATCGAGCATGTACATGACACCGTTGGACGCCTGGCGGGAGAAGAGGAAGTCATCGTCCATTACTCCCATCACCCGAGCTCCCGGCGCCGCACCGAGAGGCGTGCGAGAGCACAGAAGCGGAAATGCAAAATAATGTGTTCAGCCTCACCTCTTTCTTGCCAATGAGCCGTACGGAGCCATCCAGGATAACACGCGCCCACCCGGGGACGTCTGCGTGTATGCGATCGGCAACGTGGGTGAAGGTGACATTCTTGTCCGCAAGAAGTGTTGCGAAAGTAGTCGGATCAGACGAGGCGAAGTCAATTGGAGAACGCTGCACCGAGTAAGAGGGTCTATCATCAGAAGATGCGCCATAGCGACAAGACCAGAGCCACTCACCGGGATAATGTGCGCCGAAATCCACCGCTCGACGTTCTTCTTCGACATATTATCAAACTCGGCCTCGGTGAGGATCACCGTGTCATCCTGCGGCTTCGGGTCCTCGTGTCTGATGGCACAGCCCACGCCACATTGCGGATATGTTGGAACTTGGCGACGGTATACAACCAATGACATAGGACTTACGGCTTGTGAGGCAGCGCAATCACCGCCTTGTTTATGGGGACGAGCAGGGTGTTACGAGCAGCCTTGTCCGCCAAAATGGCGCTGAGCTCGAGTTCCCGGGCATAGGAGTAGAAGATGGATGCCGAAGGTTCGATGGTGAGGAGATCGGCGAGCGAGGGCTTGTCGGAGGTGACTGGGACGAAGACTGGGTCGCTCGAGCCAGAGTCGTGCGAGGCGGGGAATACAATCTGCTCGTCCATGGAGGCGAAGGCCAAGAATGGGAGAACCAGCAGAGAGAAGAGTTGCACACGCATCGTAGAAGGTGTCTCGCAGAACTAGGCAGTCAAAGAGCCGCAGTGGCCAGGGATGTCGGAGCTCGGAGAGCGGCTGGCCAGGAGGGCCTAGGCGAGGATGCCTAACCAGGAAAGTCTTTCTCACGATGGACGGCCTCCATAATCAATTAATCAAGCTTGCGTCTACTATCCGCACTCTAGTCTCTACTAGTCCTTGGCCTTAGTGCTTCTGTCTTTCACCCTTTCCAGCATCTATCCGCCCTCTTCTGCGCCGGTAGCATATAAGGCCCTCTCAAAACAACGAATGCACGTGCAGCTGGTTCCACACGTTGCTCCGAGGTTGTGAGCCATGTGCAACTTGGTACCCAAATCCACTCCCAATTATCGTGTCCAGTTCACAAATTGGATCCAGTACGATCGCACTACATTGCACGGAACTGGATCATATTCAGGAACCGCGCTTGAAGTGGCACCCACACACACCAAGACCGATTCGCTCACCTCACATCGGCCCTCTATGTAACGCAAACCGATGATGACACTCATGGATGGAATTCTAGTGGACTGTAGTTGGTCTCGTATTGTCTCCCACAGCTACTAGATATCACGATCGGACTGCATTCTGCTTATGAATACTCTTTCGTTCAGCTGCTTAAATAACTTGCACCATCGATTCTCATCCACGTAGGCCTTTTCCCAGCCCAGCTCCGTCCAGGCCACGTCCACCGATTGAAACCAATCTCGCTGCCCCAACATGCCCTTCACCTACGAACCGAAGAACATGCTCTTCCGGAGGCTAGGCCCCAGCGGCCTTCGCGTGCCCGTCTTCTCCCTGGGAGCCTGTGCGTCCACTTTCTTTTGCGAACGATCATGTCTCGTTCGACAGGATGTGATACTGACACGCTATCGCATTTGCTCAGGGTTGACTTACGGCGAAACAGTCAACGGAGACCCCGTGAAGGTCGGTTCTTTCCAGTCCTCCCTGTCTTGAAAGATCTGACTTCAGGCCCATGTTGCAAATCTGTTTGTAGGAAATTATCAAGATGGCACTGGAGAACGGCGTTAATATGTGATTGCTTCTGCCAATGTTCATTGGCAGCCGGTACTGACGCGGACGGACGATCAATCAGGTTCGACACCGCAGAGGGTTATGCTGCCGGCAAGGCTGAGCTCGAAATGTAAGCTCCCGTTACTCATCATAGATGCATTCCCTGAACTATTCTTGTAGGGGACGCGTCTTCAAAGAACTTGACGTACTTCGGTCTGACATCGTGGTTACGACCAAGATCTTCTGGGGTGGAAAAGGGCCCAACGACACGGGTTTGTCCAGGAAGCAGTGAGTGCCACGTCCACGCCGCCGCGTGAAATCGTGCATCATCGTTGCATCCGACAGCATCATTGAGGGGACAAAGAAATGCCTCGAACGTCTGCGAATGGACTATGTAGACGTCCTCTTTGCGCACCGCCCAGACCACACCGGTTCGTGAGGCAGCTATTACGTCCTTTCCCCGGCGACTCCGTTCTCATTTCCGGCGGCACCTATCTACAGTGCCGATGGAAGAGGTCGTCCGCGCCTTCAACTACGTGATCGACCAAGGCTGGGTGAGTCACCTCCTTGGCATCTGTGCGGACATAACTTCCGTCGCCCGGTGGGACACCCCTCGCTATAACGCCGTCATCGCTCTTTGACCTTGTACCGCCACCATCACTTCCAGCGCCTATCACCACTTCCGCGCCCTCCTCCAAGGGCAAGAAGAAATTCCTTGATGCCATATCGCGTCAAGAATCTACCACTCCGTCGGCCTCGTCCCCCCGCGGCTCCGCGTCGTCCTACAGCTCCCTCGCGGGGGCCATGGGCGACAACCCTTTCCTCGGTCCTGGCGCTGCCGGGCCCCCTCTCCCCGACGGCTCCCCCTCCCACTTCCAGGCCACAGGCAACTTTGACCCTGAGGACGAGAAGCGTCTCCTCGACGCCACTGCCGCCTTCTTCGAGGACATCGTCCGACGCCCCAATTCGTTCGACTCCCTCGCCACCATCGCCCGTTCGCTCGGCGTCGACCAATTAGAGGCCGAGCACTACTACAACCTCAACTGTGACTACTTCGAAGTCACACGCAACCTCGCCGAGAAGGCGGGCCCGTTTCTCCGGGCCTACCACAGCAGCACCCCGCCCCCCGCTCGTCCTGCGCCCCCCGACGCCATGGACACCGCCCCCGACACCCCTCGACCGGCCAACCTCGTGCTGGCCTCACCTTCGCCCTCCTCCTCGGGTGCCACCCCCACGCCGGCGCCTGCAGTCACGCCCCTTCCCCCTGTCACGCCTGCCCCCGTGACCTCCGCTGCGCCTACCGGCACGGCGGCCCTCCCTCCCCGCCCTCCTTCGCCTCTGCCTGCTGTCCCGGACGCTCCCACGTGGGCGACGGTTGCACGCGGCAAGGGGAAGGGCAAGGGCAAGGCCGACGGCGCGCGCAAACCCGCCGTCGTCGCCCCGTCCCCTTCTGCGGTTAAGGCCGCCCCGGCTCCACCCTCTGCTCAGGCTTCGCCCCCCAAGGCCAAGCCCACTATCCTGAAGGCCACGCTCGCCGCCCTCCGACAGCGCCGCCCTGCGGGCTCTGCCCGAATCCTCAATTTCTACGTCATTGACCCTACCTCGGCCCCACCCGTGACCTGTCACGACGTGCACGTCCTCGACGACCTCCGCCGGCGCTGCGACATCCCCATCCAGCGCCTCACCTCCAACCCCGCCCGCACGCGGTGGTCTGTCCTTCCGGCAGGCGCAGCTGCGGACCAGGCGGCTGACGACGCCCGCGCCACCTCCCTCCACTTCATCATGCAGACGCTGCTCGGCATGCAGCTCAGCATGGCCCGGCACGTGAACCGGGCCTCCGTCCTCTTCCCACAGGTTCAGCGCCTGCAGCGCAACGCAGACGGGACGTCAACTGAGATCGACCCCCGGACCGCCCTCCGCAACGCCATCGCCCGCTCTGGAGTCCCTGCATGGACTGAAGCCAGCGCCCACACCTCCCCCACACCCACCGCTATCCGCTGGGGCCCGCACACCCCTGACGCTCCCACCGCCTCCCTCTTTGTCGACATCGACGACGATACCACCTTCACCACCATCCGTGCTGTGAACAACACACGGCTCCTCTTCGACAATGGTCCACGTGCCTGCCTCATGGCACGTGTTGCACCCCTCCGCCCCCAGTGCCTGAACTGCCAAAAGTTCGGCCATGTGGCTATGCGCTGCCGCGCGCCTCCAGCGTGTGGCACCTGCGCTGGTGCCCACCACTCGCACGACCACGGCCTCATCATGAGGGCCTCTGGTGCTGCCGCTCCCCCGGTCCGCTGCGTGAATTGCTCTGGCAATCATGCGGCCTACGACCGCACGTGCCCTGCTCGCCTTCCGAAGGGTGGCAAGGGCACCACTACACCGAAGCGGGCTAGGGCTGCGCGGGCTGCAACGGCGCCCACGTGACCTGGTCCCACTCCTCAAGTTCCGTCCGAGTGAAGCTTCCGGCCCGGTGCATGCGCCGCACGTTTGTGTGTAACCCGGGATGAGAGGTATGTGGCCCGCAGATGCGCATGGACTATGTTTCGGCTTTTGGACTTTTACTATACGCGCTCCCGAGTTTCGGAGTTCTGAACGCGACCGCCTGGAGGTCTGCACTCCCACACTGGCTAAGGCCGTGGCCCCGCGCCAAAACGGCGACAACTGAACGCGGGATAGCCGCCGTTACGGCAGGAACTCGTACGTACATAGCACAACGTAGAGACTTGACTGTATTCTGGCTCGAATCCATCATCATCATCAGCTATAACGCCGTCGGGTGTCCGTGCGGGCTCTGGGCCAGAAGCCGTGCTTCCAAATATGACGAAGGGATCCGTGCCACAGTTCTCGTCCGACGGGTTCCCTTGTGCTGACCCGCGTTCATCGCAGGCCTTCTACTGGGGGACCTCCGAGTGGTCCGCGCAAGAAGTCGAGGAAGCGTACCGTGCGTACTCTATGGCGGCTTCCACGCCCGCCCATTCGCTGCAATGCCATCGGCTGACCGCCGCGCTCGACGTGTTCTAGACGTGGCTGCGAAGCTGGGGCTCGTCGCTCCCATCGCCGAACAGTGCCAGCACAAGTGCGTCCCCGGACCCATGGCTGCTAACGCCGCTGATGGTGCTTTGGCGCGAACAGCATGTTCCACCGCGAAAGACCCGAGAAGGAATACGCGTGAGTATCAACGCGCTCCTGCGGTATGAGTGCATGTGTCTCTGATCTCCCACACATCCCATGTGTGCAGGCCGCTCTACGAGAAGCACTCTATCGGAACGACGGCATATTCACCCCTGGCCCGTGGCGTTCTCACTGGCAAGGTACGCACCCCGTTTCCGTCCTCGCTTTCCCGGACGTGAAGGATTCCCTGCTATGTGCAACACGCCTCTGACCATACTGCGCATCCAGTACAACGGTGGGGTCGTACCTGAAGACTCCCGCTTCGCGGTTCACTCCGGATTCTTCAACGCACGGCTTGAACGATTCAAGACAGAGGAAGGCAAGAAAGAATTCGAGACCGTGAAGCAGCTGAGCGACTTCGCCGGCAAAGGTGAGCGCTCGCACGCCCGCACGTCGTCGCTCCCAGGCTCTCCTCCGCCGAGTCCCATCGACGTGGCGTCCTGCGCCGCTTCTGCTCTCTTCACCCCGCGTACGGATGGGCTCCGGATGTGGTCGCTGCGCTCCATGCTTCCCTTTCTCCTGAATTCGTCTCCAGTCCTTTCTGCACCTGCGACGGCGCGAGTGTGTTTGGCCCCGGCCGCCTGCTCACACCGGTGCTCCCCAGAACTCGGGTGCTCCATCACGCACCTCGCGCTCGCGTGGCTCGCCGCGAATCCGAACACGCACACGGTCATTCTCGGTGCGTCCAAGCCCGAGCACGTGCTCGACAACCTCAAGGCGCTCGACGTGATCCCCAAGATGACCCCGGAGGTCATGGACAAGATCGAGAAGATCCTAGACAACAAGCCTACTCCATGGGTACGTGGTTCTGATTTCAAGATCGCTTGTAACGGCTGATTTCTGACCTCGGCAGTCGTCATACGGCCGACCGAAACTTGATACTGCTGGAAAGTCGCTTATGTTTGCTTGAGCTTGTTGATGTGCATATAGAGCAGTTAATGAGACGTGTGTGAATGAATACGACATGATTGTCTCACATACAGAAACTGTATATAGATGCTTGCAAGTCCCGTCAAGTCATCTTCTCTGTTAGTATATCGGTTAGTACACGCGCCTGTCACGGTGATCGCCACCGGTGCGCGCGAAAGCGGGGTTCGACTCCCCGACAGAGAGTCTTGCAATCACTCCCATTTTGCTCTTCTTTCGGGCTCTCAAGTATGTCTTTTGCCAAACATCCGTTCAACAAAGGCAGACAGACTCACGAGTGTCGCCGTTTCGTCCAAAGAGCTATACGCTCCGAGTACGTTCGAGAGGAATCGAGTCGCATGAACGGTTGACCCATATGATACTAAAGAATAATGACAGCAGCGTTAATGCAAACCGCAGAAAGCAAGAAGAAGTCACCAAGGTGATATGAGGCAAGCGTCGTTCGTAGGCTGGTCATGTCGCGCAGATCAGAGATAATAGACGCCCATGAACGACACGCTGCCGCTGTTGCAGCAGACTACTGCCGCCCATCCACTGCCCTCTCCCAGCACGACCATCCCAGACGACCCAACCTCTCTTGTTTCTACAAAAAAGCTTGTGCTCCTCTTCCCAGCATGGTATGACTTTGTACCAAGATAGCATACAGGACAGATCGTAACCGGCACAACAGGTCGTCCTTGCAGCCTCAATATGCACAAAGGGTGGAAAGGGTACGCATCAGTCCATGGATATCCCCGGAGGACGTTACTGAAAGCGCGTGTAGCTGTTATCTCGCGCCAATTTCGCGACATGACAAGGGCGAGGATAGAATCTCTGCTCGCATCCTTCCCCAAACTCATCCCCGCCGGCACACAACACACCTCCGTTGAGACCGCCGACGTCCGCTATGTCTATCAACCACTTGAAGACCTGTATATACTCCTCATCACCAATAAGGCCTCCAACATCCTCCAGGACATCGAGACTTTACACCTCTTTGCCCGTGTCGTCTCGGACCTATGCCGAAGTCTGGAGCAGCGCGAGATCCTCAAAAACGCCTTCGAGCTGCTTGGCGCGTTTGACGAGATCGTGAGCATGGGCTACAGGGAGCAAGTCAACCTCATGCAGGTCCGCAACGTCCTCGAGATGGAGAGTCACGAGGAGAAGATCCAGGAGATCATCGCCCGGGTGCGTCCCACCTCTCCCTTACCCTCCCTCTCGCGCGCCCGTCCTCACAGCGCCCACCTGGCGGGACACAGAACAAGGAGGCGGAGGCGAAGGAGGAGCTCAAGCGGCGCGCGAAGCAGCTCGAGATGCAGCGCCGCGAGCAGCAGCGGCGCGCCGCCGCGGGCGGGCCTTCGGGCGGGAGCAGCTACCTCGGCGGTGGGATCTCGGGCTACTCCGCCGTCCCCCAGCGCGAGTTCAACGCGCCGACGCCCGCCCGCACCGCGTCGCCGAAGCCGTCCAGCCTCCGCACGCCGGCGTTCAAGGGCAGCGGCATGAAGCTCGGCGCGAAGAAGTCGCAGCAGTCCGCCCTGCTCGACGCGCTGGGCAGCGAGGCGCATTTGTCGGAGGACATGTCGGCCCCAGCGACGCCGGCGATGGGGGGCACGCCAGAGCCTGTTGCGGTCCCGAGGAACGATCGCGGGAGCCTGCCGTTGGTAGACCCCGAGAGGTGCGTCGTTCCCCTGTTTGCGACGAAGCACTTGCATGAACGAACGTGGCTCGCAGCGTGCATATCGTCACCAAAGAGTCTATCAGTCTCGAGCTTATACGCGAAGGCGGCCTCAACAATCTCGAACTGCGCGGTGACATGAACCTTCATATCTCTGACCCTGCGTTCGGCCGCGTCAAGCTTGTGCTTGCACCTGCGCCTGTGACGTTCGGCCCCGAGCTGCAATTCAAGCAACACCCGAACGTTGGCAAGTTCGTCGCCAACCGTGACCGCCTCGTCGCTCTCAAGGACCCCTCGCGGTCGTTCCCGATCGGTCAGCCGTTGGCGGTGCTCAAGTGGAGATATTCCGGCAAGGACGAGACGTACGTACCGTTGTCGAGTGAGTACAGTTCCAATCGAGCTTTGGCAGCCTGCTGATCACGGACCAGTCAACTGCTGGCCAACTCCGTCCAACGACGGGAAGTGCGACGTGAACATCGAGTACGAGCTCGAGAACGAGGGCGTCAGCCTGTATGATGTCGTCATCTCTATCCCATTGCCGTGCGTCCCCGTTCCCGGTTGTCCGGATGACTTGATGCTCATCCTGTCCGACGTTCTTTAGCGACGGCTCCTATCCCACCGTCTCGTCCCACACTGGCGAATGGAGTCTCAACTCGTCTAGCCATTCGCTAGACTGGACGATTTCCCTCATCAACACCGACGATCGCTCCGGGTCGCTCGAATTCTCAGTCGGTGGTGATGATGCGAGCGCTTTCTTCCCGGTCAAGGTGTCGTTTGTCGCACAGGGTAGCATTGCGGGAGTTAAAGTTGCGTCGGTGACGAGCGTCGAGGGCGGCGAGGTGGTGGAGTTCTCGGAAGACGCGACTGTGAGCGTCGAAAATTACACTGTAGTGTAGGCGTAGTGGGAGTGTCACTTATGATATCGGTCGTGAGACATTATGTATTCGTCACAGAGGGGAGCAGGTTGTATCAATCGGATTAAAGCCCTTCTACTGAGAGGGAGTGCGGGTGGGATGCGCGAACGAAAAGAAACCCGGTACATGGTTGTGTTGCTACGGAAGAGTGATTTCATGACTCGTTCTTCTACGTAGTCGCCTCGAACCCCGAGCTGGAGCAGACACTCGAACTTCTAACCCGTTCAGACTTCAGTACTTCAGTAACCACTGCGTTGTCCGACCAAGTCCGCCTCAACGGGACCTCAACTTCATCCTCGGTGACAGTTATAATAATAATCTCAACAATAATAGTTGTTTGTGCGTTACTAGAACCAAGGAGGGATGCCATGATCATTTCGTAGGGTCTATAGCCTCTTCCTCCCGAATCGTTACACACTGGTGGAGGAAATACTAGTGATTGGCGACCACGACATGAGTCAAAAGACCATGTGCATCTCAAACGATGTAAAGCGATCAATGGTTGTCTGCGTGAAACCTCTGAACAAGCTCCTTGAGATAGCGTGACGTCTCCGGCCGCTTCACCGGCCTTCTGTCCGTATCGC